AATTTGTATAAAGTTAATTTCAAATTGTAGAAATAAAACCCGTAGCTTATATATGTCTGCAAGGGTATTTACTCTTCGGCGCACTAAAGAAACACTTCTTTCTGGATTCCATTTTTATTTTTTCCTTTTTTTTTGTATTTTCTAACGCCGCTGGCATGCGGCAAAGTTCTATGAGTTGAATTTGTGGTTTGGCGGCGGCGGTGGTTTTAGTTGATTGTTGTTGGCTTGCGACACAGAGGCGCGGTGCCGGCACAAGCCAGTCATTTAAGGGCAGAGGATCAAGCCAGCACACACACACACACACGCACAAATGCGTTGAAAATGTTTGTGTATATACAATATATAGTTGATATATAGGCAACCTTTTGCACACTTTTTTGAGGACGAAGTTTACACAGACCCCTGGCATATGATTTTGTGAACCTTTTTTTTCACAGTTTCTTTTTTTCGACGTATTTGCTGTCTAGTTTATGCGCGTGTCTGTCAATTTGACAGTGGTATTGGTCTATTTGAAATTTGACTAAAAACGTTGCCTAGTAAAGTGGGCAGCTGCATAACCAAGCTGGCGGCTGCTGTTTAAAGTATGGCCCAAAAGAGTTGCCTAGTTAAGTGCGCAAACAAGTCGGCAGCACCAAACTAGAAAATGTTCATTTCGCCGACGTTTTCAAATTTAAAATTAAAAAAAAAAAAATGCTGTTGCCTAGTCTTAAGCGTCTGTAATTGTTCTTTCTGTTGCTGCGGTTGCTGTTGCTGCTGCTGCTGTTGTTGTTTTGTATTAGCGCAGCCGACGGTAAAACTTTCAACACCCAGCCACCCACACAGACAAGCTGCTCGCACACACCCAACCTCCCGCCCCCTACCCCAGCGATGACGACCCGAAATCCCAAAACGAACAAGCGACACGCGCCCAAGCGCCGAGCTTGCCACGGCAAAAGCACAGAGCATGTCGACGACAGACGCCGCTGCCAGGGCCAACATTAGCATTGAAGTGTGCAAACGACGCCACCCACAGACACACAAATAAATATACACACACAGTTTCAAAGAGCAGGGCAGTCAGCCGTCGCCGCCATGCCACACCATGGCACGCCATGCGGCAGTTGGAGCACTCACGCAAATTTCAATTTTTTTCACACCAATGGCTCTTGCTTGCCCTCTGCCTTTGCCACATTGCGGTTGTGTGTCTACCCGACAAATTGGTCGCAAGTGATTTTGATGTGATTACCCAAATTTTGCATCCCTTAGCCCGATGGCGTCTTGCAAAAGCAAACTCTGTCATTTTGTAGCACTGCTGCAGCAACTTTTTTTGCTTTTCTTATCGATATCAATCGATATTATTTTAATTAGTTTCGTTTTGTTGCTTTTCTCAGCGCGCCAAAACTGAGTGCGCATTTACAGTTATTCTCACTCACTCTTTCTTCCACTGCTTTAGTTTTTGCGTTATTTAATTATTGCGAATTTCTATCGTTTCCTTAGAATATCGTATTTTTGTTATTGTTTTACGAATTGGTTTCATTTGTGGGTTGTGTTTTGCCGCCATGCTGCCTGTTTTCGAAGCACGCGCCACGACAGAACCGCACACAGGCATACTTATAACGACACGACCCGCACATACATACATATATGCACACACACACACGCACACACACATATCCCAACGAGCCAAAACACACACAAGCACAGGCACAAGCACACAAACGTATTGCAAACGTGCTTTTACTCACACCGTGTGGCGCACTTCCTTTGATTTAGTCATTTTTCTCTCTTTAGCCGACAACCAACAAGCCATGTGGCTCCTCTGCCTGTGCCAGTGCCAGTGCCAGTGCCAGGGACCGCACGTCGCTAGCTGCCAGTCGCCAGCCGCCCAGTTGGCAGTGTGCGCACTTCCGACGATTTTGCTCGGTGTGTGTGTGGAGAAGGTTGCCCCAACGGTCCTGGGCTGTTATTTTTTTGCTGTTTGATTTTCATTTCTGTTTTGCTACCAATACCTTTTGGCCACTTTTGTTATTGTTGTTTTTGCTGGTTGCCGTTGAAGTATTACTTTGCAGCTGCCACATTGCGGTAGCGCGATCTTTTCACAACTAACCATAATATTTTCATGCATTCTCTTTTGCATCACTTATTTCTTTGATATCGTTACGATTGAACCAAATTGCACAGCTGTTAATATCGATACATTTTGCCAAATGTTATCGAAAAGATCAGCATCGATACTGATGGACTTCAGCAGCGCATATGCCATTGTCGCCTAGGCCGCATATGCGACTTATAAAACTGAATACCCAAGTTGCATGCTCAAACACACAGACACACATTTATATATAAAACGTTTGGACACTGGAGGGACACCAGCGGGTCTGGGGACTTGGTGTGAGCAGTCAAGTCGTGCAGCAACATGAGCACGGGTAGCATCAGCATCAGAAGCGGCAACATCAGCGACAGCGACAGCTTTGTTGCTGTAGCTTAGTATGGGGCTCTGGCTGCTCCGGTTGCCCGTCCTGGGACTCGGTGTGGCTATAAACGATTTATGTGTATGCTTGTGAAGGCCAAGCGCCACATGATTTCATTCCACGCCCACGCTCACACCCACAACCCAACCCGCCCACAATCAACGGCGGCATTCAAGTCATCGTTCAGTTCAGTTCAGTAATTTTACAGACTGCGGCATCAGCTGCCAACGCACAGAAGCCAAGAGGAAGGCTGACTGGCTGCCTCACTTCTATGTGAAATGTGGGCGGACGGATGTCATTGTGTATGTGTGTGTGTGTGCTTTACAGTTGCTGATTGCATCTGTAAAAGTGCATGTCGCTAAGGGCTGACAGTTCGACAGTTTGTCATTGCACAAGGCGAGCGTCTAGACAAAACAGCAAGCGGGCAATGCTAATTAACAATTTAGCTTAGACCAACAAACGCTGTTGGCAATGCGCAACAATAGCTGCTAATCAAGCAAAAGTAATGCCAACTAACGATTCTTTCTTACTAATGGCGTGGTTGTGCGAAATGTAGCATACTTTTTGGGTGATACATTTCTAAGTACACTGAATGCGATCAGATTGCAGAGGTTTTTTTGTGGAATTCAAATATAAATCATAGAAATATATTTACGATAATTGGGAAATCATTGTGTTTGCACTGAAAATAATCACTCTGAGAGTACGGGTACGGGTAAAAGGTTGCCATGAAAATTGGCCAGCTAAAATCCGTGCTAGAAAGCTATTCATTATATATACATATATGCTGGCAACACACATTGATCGAAATCTACAGATTTAAAAGCATATCTGCAATTTGTGCCTTTTGTCAACGAACTCTGTCGCCGTCGCTGTCGCTCTGATAGCTGTCCAAAGCAACGCCCATCCTTTTGCCCACATCGATGTCGTATTTATCTAATAGTCCCTGCTGCTGTCAGAATGGTCTACGTCTGGTGTTGATGCCCCATGCTACAGGAATTGCTGTCGCCTGGCTTATTATTTGCCACGACTGCTGTGGCGCTAAAGTTTCGCCTCGTTGGTGTTATGATTTCAATGTGGGTTGCCGAACGGCACGACGACCCACGACCCCCGACCCCAAACCCACAATCGCAACCGTCATCGTCAGCATCTCCGCACACACACACACTCACACACACACAAACACCCATACACATGCGCACACCCACCCCGCCCACGCTCACACCAGCCCGCAGGCCACAACCATAGCTAACTCGCTGGCTGGCCTGACGGCGTTTGCTCAGGCCACCCAATAGACAACATTTTTGCATAGTTAGGACAAAGCTACAAAGTATTTTAAATTTGATTCCTCAGTTGATTCGAAATATTTTGATTTTTTTATATGGCCTTTCTAGGGCATTGCGGGATTTATATCTAATTTGTGAGGTATTTTTAGAGTATGTTAATATTCCTTTTTAAATAAAATACTACTTAAGAATCTCCTATTTCTGCATTCTGGGCAGTTGTTTTTTTATCATTATTCTGATTTTTATGTTTTAATTATTTCCATAAAACCACAATAGTTTTAAGATATAACTTGATCCTTATATTTGACCATTATTGTGCCATATCATTTTTCAATCTCTTATCAACTCATATATGCCATATATTAGTTGTTAATTATAAATATTTCGTGCCACTTACCATGTTTTTTTATATACATCTGAAACAGATAGACATTTAAATATTTGCAAATATTTTAAATGATAATACTTTTATTAAAAACCCAATCATATTCTTATAGAAAACTATTGGAAAAAAATGTTTGCTGGCATATTTTATTTGTGCCTAAACGAATTGATTTGTACGCTAGGGTGTGTGTGCGTGTGCCTGAGGATTTGTCAGAGTGTGTGTGCTTGTGTGTGTGTGTGTTTGTGTGAGGGGCGCGCGTACGTGCGAACTTTCTGTGCTCGCCAAAGCCAGACATGGTCACGCCGTCTGTCCGACTGTCGGTGGCGGCACGTCGACTGGCTGACATTTGCCGCATTTGCCAACGCCCAGCCGCCCACAACTGGCAACATGCCGCCGCCGTCGTCGTTAAAGCTTGGCTGCCGTTGTGTGAGTTCGTGTGTCTGCCTGTGTGTGTGTGTGCGAATGTATTTGAGTGTATGTGTGTGTGTGTGTGTGTGTAGCAACCATTACCACAACCACCATTAACGTGCCAGGCAGTCAGCCAGGCGTTGCTGTTGCCGCCGTTGCCACTGTTGTTGCTGTTGCTTGTTCTTGTTTTTATTGTTGGTTGACTCCAATCTGCTTTGGTTGCTGCGCCACACGACGATGGCGATGGCGATGGCGATGGCTGTGGCGAGCGCCAGCCCAAGAGCCATTCAGTCGGCAAATTTTGTACGAGCTATGCGCACCACGGCGGGCGTCATAAGCGACGGCAGCCAAGTAAAAACGAAAAGTCGAAGTACGTTTCACCGTTACGCTTACCGTTAGCTTCTGTTCGTTCAATTCTGTTCTGTTCAGTTGAGTCGAGTTCTGTGCAGTTCGTTTCGGATTTTAGTACTCGGTTAATGCTCGGCCAGTGCGGACGTCTCGTCTAGCAACAAATTATTTAGCGACAGTTTTTCCTGTCTCAAAGCCGTTCTAACGAAAAGACGTAACTTTGATCGGTTCGGATTTAATCTTTGGCGCTTACAACCTACGGCAAACTGTAGAATTTAGTTAACAAATAATCAGAATTTAATTGTTAAAAATTTACGCGTGTGTGTGGAATTCATTAAGAGTTCGGCAAAAATGACAAAATGACAGCAAAACGTGATAAGGATTACAATAAAAATAAATCAACAGCGGGTAAAAAATATTATTTCTATGTCAAGTTTAAATTAAAAAAAATATGTATATTTAAAAAAATTAGATAATTAATTGTTAAAGAAACAACGTTAATCGAACAAAAGTTACGGTATAGATGCGCGGAAAATGTCGGCCCTATAAGCTAACTTTCAGAATGTGAATTTCATTATATTTATTTGAAAAATCGAAAACACGATTTCCTACAAGAATTATATAGAAAAGAATAACAGGAGTTTATAACAAGTTTCCCGAAGAGTCGGGCATTAAAAAGAATTCTACATTTAAGAAGAACAAGAAACCTTTTAAAAAAATTTTAGCTACACGTCTTAATAATAATGGGAGTGGAACATTTTAAATGGGTCCTGGAAACAGAAAAAAAGTCCTACATCATTATTCTCGACTAACTTTTTTATATTAGAAAACTTATTTTTAAGAAAAAATGTATTTATAATAAAAACCATTTAAATTTGGAAAATGGAAAATCCCAAACCAAAAACTGAATATCGTAAAACTTGAAATTGGCTATACCCGAAATATTCGATATATTGTAGCATACTTTTATAAAACTGAAGACAAAACTTAGTTAGGAAAAAAGAATTAATTCATTATTAGAATCGGAAATGCATAAAAATGTATTTCTAAAATTATTATTTCCAGACAATTTTGAACTATGTTTTTGAAAGTTTTAAATTAAAAACCTCAAGAAACAGCCCTATAGAAAGAAATCTCTAAAGTAAGAATATTTTAAGTTCATTCTTTTTTTATATAAATATATTTTATATTCAGAAATTATAGATATTGAAAATTAGAAAAGCCAGCACTTAAACCGAAGCGATCTAATTTGTGGCCGATTATTCAATTATCTAAATTATTAACTATTAAAATGTATTTTAAATTAAAGACTTACCTTATAATTTAATTTGCAGGCCTCGGATTCTCCGCCTCCAGCTCAACCAATGGCAGCGGCATCAAATCGATTGGTCTGGTGAGCTCCTCACAAAATGTAACCTCGTCGCAGGACATTAGCAAACGTACCAATAAACCACTAATGGAGAAGCGCAGACGTGCCCGCATTAATCAAAGTCTGGCCATACTCAAGGCCCTTATTTTGGAGTCGACCAAGCATCAGAATGCCAAAAATGGTGACGGTCAGGCGAAGCATACGAAATTGGAGAAGGCCGACATACTGGAGCTTACAGTCCGTCATTTTCAACGGCATCGCAATCTGGATGATCCAAGTAGGTAGCTTCTAGCTTTTGTTTGCCCCGCTCCGTTCGTTGCCCAAAACTGAAGCCTAACTATCTTTCCTGCACAGCAGCTGTGAATAAATATCGCGCGGGATACACCGATTGCGCACGGGAAGTGGCACGGTATTTGGCCACGCCGGAGCCGCCGCCAATGGGCAATATGCCGACGCTGGCGGAGCCGGGCTCCAAGGCGCGTCTGCTACGGCATCTGGATCAATGCATAGCCGAGATCGATGTTGAGATATGCCCGCACACAACGACAGCCGCCAATTTTGCGGAGAGTCCGAACAGCAGCAGCAGGACCTGTTTCGATATTAAGAAAACCCCAGCGCCGACCGAGGAGCACTCGCTGGACTACAGCAGTCAGGACTCCAATCCGCTCGACTACAGCAAGGGTCTAAAGCTGGGCGAGACGCCGTTGCTCGTCGTCGGCGATCAGCGTGCAACGCTGGCGCCGCAGCAGGATGAGAACAATAATCGCGGTCAGTTGGCGCCGCCAGCCCAAAACCAGCTCCCAACCCAACAGCAACAACAACAACAACAGCTGCAGCAGCAGCAACAGTCGCCGCCAAGCGGTGCAGTCATCGAGCTGGGCTATGAGCACGATGCCAACAAAGTCGTCTGCGTCAATGTGCTGGAACAGTACAAGCAGCAGCTGAAGGCCCAGTCCCAGGCTGAGGGCGTTCCCACCAATGGGGGCGTCCTGGTGCTTCCTCCGCACTATGTGCAGCTGGCGGCTGCCTTGGGCCTGAGCGCCCAGCCTATGGTAGATCCGATTGCCACGCGCACGGATTTCGAGCGTCTGATTGAATTGCAGCGCATGCAGCCGCATCTGGCCGGCAAGCTGAGTCCCAATTTTGCGGGCAGCCTGGAGGCGGCGCATGTGGCCGCCGCTGCGGCTGCTGCCTATGCCAATAGCATGGCCAACAATACCAACGTGGCAGCGGCAGCCATGCTCAATGAACGACCCGCCTCGGTGGCCTCCTCCTCGGCGGCATCGGCATCGGTCAGTTCGGGCGTCTCTGAGCTTAAGTCGGCGCCGGCCACGCAGCAATCCTCGCCGCGCTCGGAGAGCGGCATCGGTTCCAACGAGAACGAAACGCTTGATGCCAGTCCGCAAACGAGCAGCGCGGCCAGGCAGGCGTTGCGGCTGCGCCAAGAGGAGGAGTACCGGGCACAACAGGTTGGCGGCCAGCAGGTCATCGATGAGAGCATGTGGCGGCCCTGGTAGAACACAGCGGCCTTGTACAGTATCGATGGTATAGCTTTTACTAACTGTGTATATATATATTCATTTATATAGGTATCAGGGCTCCAAACCAATTTTTACAATATTCACGAAACCTCAAACGATATTTCTTAATTTCATTTCATTTCTCTTTAAATATGTGAAATAAACATACATAGGACTACAAAGATTATGTGAATATGATCAGAAGCAAGGATGGGTGATTTTATTTTTGGTTTTGCAGCCTTGATAAATATATAAATATATATATATGCGTATATGTATGTAGACTGCGCAAATTTGTTGCTTTGTTATGAAAAATACGACGTTTTCTTTTCGCTCCTAACTAAAAGCCACAAAGTTTAGAAGAAGTAAAAAAAACAAAAAAAAAAACAACACCCTATTGTTAAGCTCCTGCTCGTATATGGAAATTCTTGCACGAGATGCGAATTTTTAAATGCATTTTTCACGTGTGCCAATGCTAAAAAAGACTCTTAAAAATAAAAAAAAAAATAAAAATAAAACGAAAAAAAAACCTAAAACTACACGATCGTAATTGTATAATTCCAGAACTATTTATGTTTTGTCCAAATACCTTGCGTAAAATGTATCAAATACTGAAATTAAAACTACAATAATGTTAAAACTATAACGAGAAACTATTCGTTTGTTTTGTTTTGAATATATGGGCTTGGATTAGCCTAAGGCAGTGTCATTTGACGGGTGTCGGAAGGTGGATGATTCCAAAATTCAGATTCTACTTTAAATTGTGTCAAATACATGTCGTTTACACGGACGGACAGCCTGGGGGATATAGGTATAATATAAAAACAGAAATATATAGTTGAAATCATTCTCTATAGAAAGTAATACACTCTTTAAACCCGTTTTTCTAGGCCTTAATGCCACCCAATCGATCTCTCTCGATCACATCCCGTACCGTATCTTAACTTATATACAGTTTTATTTTCGAAAGGTACACCATGTATATATATATGTATAGATTTTTGGAAATAAGATAGACTTGATAATCGTTTACAAATCGCGAATAAATAAGGGTTATATAAATATGCATATATACGTACGCTAAAAACGAGAACAAATATTGCGTTTAAAGAACATTCAACTTACGAAACAGCCAAAACTACTTTGATTTCATGGTAGTTAGGGATTTGCGGGGCGCTGATTGTCGCTGGCGCGCCAGGAATGTTTGCCCCGAGCCCATTAATAGGGCCAGTTTCGAGTCAACAGCATCGCGTTGAGCATTAACTCCGAGTCTATAGAAAGCGCTGGCCATTAACTGCTCCTCCATGCCGCTCATTTTGGTTTTCGATTCCTCCTCAATGACATCGACGCTCTTTTCCAAATTGTTTGCCTCCATAACTGCAAGTTGAGGGAATATTTAATAGCACATTTAAACATTTATGCATTCAAATGATTTAAACAAACCACTGGCTATGCGCGGATCGATATTTTTGATAACTTCCTTGGCTCTTTCGATGCATTTGCGGTACTTGACTTCGTAGGCCATTAATTCCTGTTCCCGCGTGGCCAAAGTTGACTCCAGCTGTGTTATTTTGCACTGCATTGTTGAGTTTTGAGTGGCTGATTCCTCAATTTGAAGTGCTGCACAAAATTACACAAACAATTAATTTTATATTATATGTTAATCAAATATTTGAGGCTTACTTTTTTGATCATTAAGCTCCATTAGCTGCTTGATTTGTTTGCTGAATTCATTTCTGTGGCATAGAAAATATTAGATTTTATTTGAAGCTCATTCAAAAATATAGTTAGAGTACTCACTCCTTTAGTATAGGATCATCGCTTTGCGAGGCATGCGATAGGGAGAGTATCCGCTCGTTGGCGGTCTTTAATTGTTCACGGAAATGTTCGCAGCGTTTATTTGCATCGTCCAGCAGTTGCTGTAATTAAAAATAAATATTTTTAATTTATGAAAATAAGAAACTTATTCAAACAATTAAAATATACTTTCTGTATAAAGAAAAACAAAGTAGCTTTCATTGAAAAACTCTTTTAGGTGTCGACTTTTTCTAAGATTTGGGTTTTATATAAAAATCATTATTAAACTGATTGCTATCACGATTGGACACGACAATATCGAAAAACAAATAAGTTGTTTCAACAAGAACTTAATTTCCGACCGATTATTCCTAAGGCAGTTATGTGTTCTAATTCGGCCCGTTCCGGAATATGTAGAGCCTGCAGCAAAATAACAAGCCTAAGCAAAGCTCATGGCGATAGCATTCAAACTGAGAGACAAGATGGGCAAACATGACCATAACAACTCGGCTGTTGATGCGGATCACTAGTTCATATAACTTAGTGTCGGAGTTGTTATCTTTGATAGCTTACAATTATCCTTACGCAAAATTACTGTTGACTTACCGCCAAAGCTGTTTGGCCACCTTGACCCTCGCGTAGGGCTTTGTTCTCCGCCTCCAGACGCTGCATTTTGTCCATCATAGCTGGCGGCTGTAGTTCCCGCGACATTGTTGTGCCGGTCAAGCTGCCAGAATTCGTAGACAACTGGCCGCATTTCAGCTCATCGAAGGCCTCGCGCAGATTGTCGCGCTCCTTGAGCAAATTATCCTTTTCGCGTTGCAGCGCCAACGTCTTGCTCTCCAAGTTCTTGTTGTCAAACTCAAGCTTGACATTTTTGCTGCTCTCATTGTCCAGTTGGGTGTGCAGATCTTGTATCTCCTTTTTGAAGAGCTCAACTTGTCCCTTTGTGTTGGCATAACGTTTGGCATCCTCTTCGAACTGTGCATTCTGCTGCACATAGTCAGCGCTGCGCTCCTCAAGCATTTTGACGTGTTTCTTAAGATCATTGTACTCCTCAAGCTTCTTCTTGTAGGTTTCAAGCTGGGCCTCGCATACCTTCAGCTTATCTGTGGATTCACGCAGCACATCTACCTCATCCTTTAGAGCGGTCAGCTCTGCGGTGCTTTTCTGTGAAAAGTAATAAAACATAAATTTGTGCTATGACTGAAGGTTTTGGCACCCACCATTAGCTCATCTATGCGCTGCTGCATGTGCAACAAGTCCGTCTCCTGCTGCTGTGCCTTAATTTTCAAGTCCTCACGAGCGCCCTCCGACTGCAACAGCTCCTCCTTAACCAATTCTAGTTGACGTCTAAAAAAAGTCAGATTAATTATAATTTCTATAATTAGCTTGAAATTATTTTAGTGCCCACCTTAGCTCATTATAACGCACGGACCCGGCCTGTATGGGGCCCAGTGAGACGCCATCGTCGCCAATTGTGTTGTGTTCCAGCCGTGCGAATTCCTGCTGTAATTTTTGCAGCTCCTGCTGTAAATTGGTTTTCTCGTCGATAAGCAGCAGCATTTTCTTTTCAGTTTCAAAACACTTTTGGGCCATGGCATCGCGCTCCTCCAGTGCCTTTGCATTGCCGTCGAGCATGCCGCTCAAGGAGTTGCGCGACAACGAGCTGACCACGCCGCCTTCTGTGGTCTGGCGTGTCGAGGATTCAAGCTCTTGAAGTGCACGCATTATGTTCGCCTGCAGCTCCTCCTCCAGGCACATAATCTCGCATATATATGACTGCTTCTTGGCGCAGTTAACAGCACAGCCGAGGACCAGCTGCAGCAGGCGCTCCAATTCACTCAGATCGCACTTCTCAGCTATGGCCTGCACATCCGGTTTCACAAAATCGTGCTGCAGCGTATAATTTAACACATCACTGTAGTATTCGTAGACGCCCTCGACCACTTTTTTCAAATTACTCATACGCAAACGCCAATTACTTCCAACAGCGCTTGATTTAATTTTCGACAGCCACGAATTGGTAAATGATTCTGGTGCAAATTGATTTAATGCCTGCGCTAGAGCAACGCCATCGGCCAGCTCCTCGGCATTTGCATGCGGCGCATTTAGATTGAGCGTTTTGAACCACTCTAATAGACTATAATACATTCCGTTCTGTGTGGACATCGTACGGTTTGAAAATGATATGAGAAAACCAAACAGCGAAAAGTAGAAATTTTTCACAGAAAAAATAACACAGCTGTTGCAGCGTAAACAAAACAGCTGCACTGACGATTAAACGATTAATCATAAAAACATACCAATATGTTATCGAGCAATCGATAAATCAGTGAGCGGAATTCCAACAGGTATCTTACAGTTAAATTTTTATAAAATTCGTTATTAACTTAGTATTAAATTTAAAATAAGCCTACTATTTACATATGTGATGCATCTGTCATTGAAATTTATTATTGCTCTAATTATTTGTAACATTAAAATCAATAGCAAGTTTTGTACCGTTGCCGCTATTTATGCATTGTTCCACCCATTTAAGTTTATCATCATGCTCCTTTATTTTATCTATCGGTGTCCAGCTTAAATCATATTCGAGTCTATAGCTGCCCTTATACGTTTGGTCCACAGAATGATTCCATTCCTGCAAAAAATTCTATAAGTATATGCAATTTTTTGAATGGAAAATAGCAAATACTTCTGGTGACAGCATGCTAAAATAGTTCTGGCCAGTGGCTCTTTGGTAAAGATGATAGATATGGCCAGGTTTCTTGGCGAAATTGCAAGCAGCGCTGTGTAGTGTTCGACTCTCATTGGACTCCTTGAGTATATTCATAGCTTGTGCTTGCAGCATTTTTATCTAAACGAAAATTAACAGAGTTACGCACAGATCGTTTGTTATGCAGAATGAGGCTTACCTGGTCCAGTATAACAACCAATTTCTGGCTGGTGCTGTGCTTCAGATGCTTATCCGCCGTTTGTATTTGCTGCGCTAGATTAATTATATCACTTTCATCGTGGTGCGAGACACGCATAGGATCCAATTGAAATTGGGGGTTACGCTCCACCAATTGAGCTGCGTTTGATAACAAGATTATGTCTTAAAAATGTTTACAACTATTCTTATCTACGCAGATGTACATACATACATACATGTTTACAAACATATGTACAAACTACACGCAAGCCTATTTATATCTATTGAAATCGCTCCTTTACATACCTTTCTTGACTGCTGATTCATAAGTTAATTGTCCGTCCATTGTAGAACTCCTTTTCATTACACGTGCATTGATAAAGTTTATAAATTAATAATTCGCAGACCAAAAATAGGACGTGTTTACTACGAAATTTACACAAACAAATATGCATGTGTTTGATGCGATATCTATCGATACCAATGTTGCTGTAATCGATTATTGCTACGCGCCCGCTGACTTGACATTGAAAATGATTAATAATACAGTGGTGGCTAAAAACATGGAATGTTCGGTTGTAACATTTATTAAAATTTGCGCGAAGTTCGAAAACAATAAACAGATTTCAATATATTTACTTGGTGTATATAACTCTTTGCTTATTTCGTACTACCAAGAAATAGAGTAAATGCATTTAATCTAGAATACATAAAATGCTATAAATACAAATTAACTTTTAACAAACATTTATAAACATTTAAGTTTTCCAAGTGACTGGAGTCAGTTAAAGGAGCAGGAGAGGAACAATATCCTGATTAGATAACCAGGGTAAGGCTTGGGCCTGGCTTAAGCCAGCTTTGTTTATTCCTCTATATGAAGTAGTAATTGGCAAGACATTAAATCCTAAACTAGATCGATGGTATTTATAGCCTTGCTATACATAATAATAATATTTTTAAAGTTGCAGTTCAACTGTTTCCGACTTTTTTCCCCGGTTGTTTTCATAAGTCTGTGGAAAATAAAAATTCATACAAAAATTAAAATAAGGTTAATAAAATGATTAAATTATTTTACTTACATGCTGTGCTATTTTCAGAAGATGTTCAAATGTTGTTTTCCCCGTCTGCATAACCATGCCGTAGAAAGCATTACTCTTGGAGGCTGTCAAGAGTTCATAAGGTGCACCAAATTCCACAACATGTCCTGCGTCCAAAACCAAAACCTTATCCGAATCCATTATTGTGTGTAGTCTGTGGGCTATTGTAAGTACGGTGCATTCTTTAAACTTATTTCTAATAGTCGTCTGAATAAGTGCATCAGTTTGTGGATCCACATTGGCGGTGGCCTCGTCCATGACCAGGATGCGATTCTCGCGCAAAATGGCGCGTGCCAGGCACACCAATTGACGTTGACCCACGCTGAAATTGGAGCCACCCTCCGATATGTTACTCTGGAGACCCATGGGCAACTCGCTGATCTCATCCTTAAGATGCACCTGTAAGTTAATGTAAAGATAAGTTGATTTTGTTTGATATTAAGGAATGCAACATGCTCTTACCTCCTCCAAAGCTTGCCACAGTTTGTCGTCAGAATATTGCTCAAATGGATCCAAGTTATAACGTACTGTGCCGGAGAACAAGACCGGCTCCTGAGGTATAATTGAAATTTTACTACGCAAATCATGTAGGCCCATCTGCTCCGTATCCCGCTCATCGATCACTATGGAGCCATCGTTGTAGGACAGGCGAAAAAGGGCATTGATGAGCGAGGATTTGCCTGCGCCCGTGCGGCCCACGATGCCCACCTTCTCGCACGGTTCGATAATAAAATTCAGGGATTTGAGCACATAGGGCGCCTTGGGATCTGGTTCGTAACGTAAACTCAAATCGTCAGCCACAATTTGGCCAGCTTCTGGCCAACTGGGAGGCGGTTTTTTATCCACGGTCGAAGTAAATTCTCCTTCAGACTTCAGGCTCCTGTACTCAATCACACGCTCCACAGAGGTCATGGAGTTCTCCAGCTCAGCCGATTGCCGCATGCCCCACTGCACCATGCCTGTCATGGACATGGCCTGTGTAATGACCAAGCCAATTTGGCCGGCATTCTCAGGCGGATACACAAAATTGTTAAGTATTATGATCAAAACGTAAATCACACAAAATAGATCCAGATAATAACCAAAGGCACGACTTGTAGTCAGGAATGTGTAGTAGCCAATGGAATGATTATCCTGGTAATGATCATATTCCGCAATCAGCATCCTTTGTGCACGCATGGCACGTATTGTGGGCAGTCCATTTAGGGTGGCTCCAAAATGCGAGTACATGGGCGAACGGGCAACAGCCTCCAGACGCTTCACATCCCGCGACGTGCTCAGATAAAAGTTGCGTAGATAATAGAAGCATAGCAGCATGGCCAGCGTATTGATCAGGTACCAAGGATTCGTAATACATAGCACGCATATAATGCCAGCCAAGGTGAGGAATATCTGTATGCAATCCAGCATAACAGTGGGCAGCACCTCGTCCACCTGACCCATATCCATGGCAAAACGATTTAAAATCCTACCCGATGGATTCGTATGAAAGAAATACATGGCCGCATGTGTTATGCTCCGGAACATGGAGTTGTGCAGCTCGGTGGAGGAGTGCATGGCCATGCTGAAGAACAGAAGCGTACGCAATAGAGCGAAAATGATCAGCGCCACATTGATGGACGCAAAGTAGTAGATGTCCAGCGTAGATGACGAGTTGCTCTTCACCCTGCCAAATAGAGAAAATATAAGTTAGATTATGTGGAAAATCGTAAACCAAATATTCAAGTTTTGCTATGCTGATGTTTGTTTACAGCTACTTAACATAACATTGTTATGTACAGAGCTAGTTTAAGGACTTATAAATACTTTACCGACGCTTTGCGACGGTTGCCTTTTATGGATTATGATCTCCTATTCTGCTATGCATTTTAACAGCCGCTTAACATAACATAGCAATGTCAAAAAGCAAGCTACTCGTCCGACGACTGTTCCTAACACAACTGTAATAGACATTTATTTTAAAACCAATAACTGCTTGTATAGAAAATAAATTTGTCTACTTCACAATGTTACTTAACATAATAGTATAATGTTAAAAGGTAATGTAAGTGGCTGGCTACTGTTCTTATAAGACTCTTATACAAACTCGGCAAATAACAGTTAATTCATAAAGTAAAATGAATTTCTTGAAAATTACCTTTTCTACAATGAATTGCAATCAAAAAAGGCAAAGAATATTCTACTTCTCACAAGTATGTTTGATTTAGCTCTTTTAATACTATAATTACCCCTTCTACTTACCAGTAGGACAAAAAGTAGTCACCCCAAGACGCCATCAATTGAGTTCCGAGGCATAGGGACACCACCAGCAGAAACATTAACCAGCCACAGCCGGCTGTAAAGTATTTCTGATACATGCCCCAACCAATTTTATTGGCTGAGCGCGTTTCCTGCACTTCTTTTGGCTTCTCGCGGTCCATCAATGAATCATTCGCACTTGAGCCCATGGAGGAAATGCTGCTGCGACTTTCCACGCTATTTTGGCGGGAATACGAGGTAGATTTTTCATTGTTATCTTTGGTCTTTTGCTCCTTCTCGATTTCAGTCTCCTCTTGTGGCTGCTGTGCCAGCATTTGGGCAAAATCCTGGCCAGACTTGAGCATATGGTCATAGGTGCCAATATCGGTCACCTTGCCCTTGTCCATGATCACAATCAGATCCGCCTGCTCCAGGAACTGCAATTGATGTGTGACCAATATGACCAGCTGATGGCGCAGAAATCCACGCATGCACTGCTCGAAGAGATGCCGGCCCACATGCGTGTCCACGGCGCTGAGCGGATCATCGAGTAGATACACATCCGCTTTGCGATAAACAGCACGCGCCAGGCTAATGCGCGCCTTCTGCCCGCCGGACAGCGATGCGCCGCGTTCCCCGACAATTGTCTTGTCGCCCTGGTCCAACAGCTCAAAGTCGCGTTCCAGGGCGCACATCCTCACCACTGTTCTGTATCGTTGCCTGTCCAGTGGCAGGCCAAACAGTATATTGTCACGCACACTGCCACAGAAGAGCCAGGGTTCCTGTGAGGCATAGGAGCAGCGTCCGCTTAACTTAACCGTGCCCGACTCCGCGCGCAGCTCACCCAGGATGGCCTGTATCAGACTGGATTTGCCAGCGCCGACGGGCCCAATGACAGCCACCAGCTGCTGTCGGTGTAGCTTCATATTGATGTCATCCAAAACGGGCTCCGTGTGATCCGTATTCCAGCGTGCTCTCAAATTCTTGATCTCAACGCAGACATCCGAGCTGAACTGCTGCTGATTGCCATTTGCTAGGAGTTTTTTACTCTCCGCTGCCTTGTCCTCGTCCTCCTCCTCAGCCAGCATGGCCACATCCGTTTCCTCGCGCAGCATAAACGTTGTTATGCGCCGCAAGGATACCAACAGCTCAGCCACCTGGGACATGCCACTGGGAAAGAACTTGGTCATGGTGCGCCGCAATATATTGTAAAATCCGGTTACACAAAATGCCTGCTCCGCCGTCAGCTGGCCACCGGCGAGCACATAGGCCAGCAGGCTGGCAAAGATCGCAAGCCGTCCCAGTGTGATCTCAAAGGAGAGCAGAATGCCGCGTATATAGTTCACCTTGCGTATGACGTTCATCTCGCTGGCACGCGTTTGGGCCACCATCCGCTCAAAGGGCAACTCCCAGGCATACATCTTGATCACCTGAATCCCGGCAATGATCTCGTTCATCATACGGACGCGACGATCTGTTCGGACAGCCGTGCGCAGTCGCAGGGCCGAGGTCAAACGGCTCAGATACGTTTGCAGCGGCAGATAGAGCAGGAGTATAGCGATGCCATAGAAGGAGGCGACGCCAATTTGCCGGTACAGAAAATACGAGGCGATCAGCAGCTCCAACGGACCCAGCCACAGGAAATGCATATGGATGAGAGCACGATCAAAGCGGCCCAAATCATTCGACACCAGATTCACCACCTGACCCGTTGTCGTCCCACCCAGCGCTGTGCGGCTCAAGCGCAAGGCCTTCCGGTAAATGGCACTGCTGACCGCCACTCTCATCTTCATTGCCAGATGCATCATGTGCATCATGAAGGGATGGAACAGCAGCACGCTCATAACAATGCATGTCACCAGCCCGGCGCCATAGAGCTGAGCACTCAGACTGCTTCCATTGCCAGTCAGGGTAAACTCTGATATCAGGCCGGCCAGCAGGAGTGGCAAGGTGGCTCTGCAAACGGAATCAATATATTAATAAAAAACAGCATGACTTCTCTAGTCGTGACTGACCGACTAGCAGATATCCTGTACCCTACACTGAGCTCGGATCTTCGTGGTACGATCTTTCTAAAAACTTTTAGGTCTAAAATATTGCTTTCATCCGCGTGTA